ATATCTCTCATAATTTTAGTCAATCTATATACAATGCTCGTTATTGACTGTAAAGTTTTGTTTAAATCGTTATGTTTAATTTCTCGTGTTAATACATGTCTTACAGATTATCGTTCAACATAATGATCCTCTCATTTCGTTTTCACAAATGAATGGACGTTCCTAATACGCAGCGTACAAGCTATTCACTGTAGATACGTATTAGGAAGACTAACAATCGAGATAGCTACTGAGGTCCGTACCCTTGAAGATCATCGGTAAGTGAATAAATGAAAACAATAATAATGATCATAATAATAATACATATATTTTTTCAGAAGGGGTTTTGTGGAGATTTCAGGATGTTTCATAGTTAAAATCATGAGTCAAGTTAGAAAAAGCTCAGGCTCAGTATTAAATTGTAGTCTACCCAAAATAAAAAAATTATAACAGTTTCCGGAAAACGTACATATATATGAATGCAAATAGCCAATAAACATTGAGAAACAATTAGTAACAGTTATAGAAAGGGTCCAAAAATAACTCTGACGTCAGAATGTAGGTGAAAAGTTGTATGCAATCTCAACGAAGTAAAATTGACTGGCACACATTTACCTAACCTGATAGGTTTCCAACATTTGACAAATAGTTTAAATACGTGTATATGTATCTTTTCGAATAAACATGTACAGATTGTATGGTGTGGTGCTGTATATAATTACTGAATATATATACATATATATAATTTTACTAAATTCAATAGTGTAGTGCCGTTTTCAATCAGTCATTATGACTGAGATGAATCATGTTTATGCAACTGAAAATGGTCCATGTGTATCGTCGATTATTTTGCAAGTTTAACAAACGTGACTAAGCTTATGAAGGTGCCGTTTATAGTTGAAAATGTTTGACTATCTGCTTTATCTCAAATCCTGACATGCCAAATTTGGGAGCTGTTGTTTACAATATAGTTGAGGTTCTTCATTTGATAGATTCCATTGAATTTCACGGACTACAGTGTTTTCAATCAGCCGCTTAGCTCCACAATGTAACTGATACTTATACATTCACATTCTAGGGATCATGAGCCAATAATCAAAAAACCGTGATCCGGTCATCAATAATCACCTGTAAAAAAGATTTTAACAGAGTTTTAACAGAGTTCAACTTTGAAATATACTGAAATCTCCACAAATCCCCTTCTGATCATAATCAATATGCTCACTAGTGACTGACTTCAAGATCCATGTCCTGGAGTTCTAGTGAGAAGCAGTGACCAGTGGAGTTCAACCACGTCTGTTGTGAGATAACAACTCACTGAAGGCAATTGGTGAAGTGTCGCTCATAATTAGTGGATCAGTTGAAGTTAGACATTAACACCGTTGGATTCCGGCTCAGTGGTCTGTCGGTTAAGGGCTCTGGCTCGTAACTGGTAGGTCCTGGGTTCGAATCTCGCGAGTGCGGGATCGTGGGTGCGCACTGCTGAGGAGTCCCACAATAGGACGAAACGGCCGTCCAGTGCTTCCAGGTTTTCCATGGTGGTCTAGCTTCAATTGACTCATGATTTCAACTTTGAAATATACTGAAATCTCCACAAATCCCCTTCTGATTCTAACAAAAATATATTTTCAAATCAATGGACAGAAATTTCAGAATAGAAAGCGTCGAAATTTCAAGATCATGTTGTCACTGTTAGAGTTGTAAGTAACTATCCACACTGTCATCTACAGCTTAATATTCTATGTAATTGTATGAGTCCAGAAATTAACTCTGACGATGGAAGGCGGGTTACGAGCTGATTGGTAACCTTCTGAATGGATAGTATCTACTTGTGTGTTAGCCACAGTTAAAATGAAGGAACTGTAAAAACCATAAACATAATATTTGAAGTTCAATCTTAAAACCTGAAATTATTAAGAGAAATTAATAGAATAACAATTATCAGAAGGGGTTTTTTGTGGAGATTTAGTATTTTCATAGTTGAAAGCGTGAGTCAATTGAAGCTAGATCACCAGGGAAGACCTGGAAGCACTGGACGGCCGTTTCGTCCTATTGGTTGGAGTTAGACATAAACAGCATCGGGTGCCGGCTCAGTGGTCTATCGGTTAAGTGCTTTGGCGTGAGACTGGTAGGTCCTGGGTTCGAGTCTCGGGAGGCGAGGTCGTGGGCACGCACTGCTGAGGAGTCCCACAATAGGACGAAACGGCCATCCAGTGCTTCCATGTTTTTCATGGTGGTCTAGCTTCAATTGACTCACGCTTTCAACTATGAGAATAACAATTATCTTCGAAGTATCCGACGTTGTAAATGATGAAATTAGAAAACCAAGAAATTATCATTAGTAATACGGAGGTTATGGCACTTGGAATTGTTCTGTTACATTTAGGATTATCTCACACATATATGTAGGAATAATGAAACAAACTGATTGTTTGATAGTAAATAAAAAAACAAATTTGAAGGGAATTCCTGACCAGACTATTTTTAAGTATTGGCCATAAACGACTTTTAGCCAATCAGGAAACAGTATTCAATCATAAAAGAATCTGGAATATAACAGTAGGTAAATTACTGTGTTGGTTTAGTTAACTTAGTTAACTGAAACCTGGTCCACTACTCACCGTAAACTCAAAACAATGGGTGATAAAGAATCTCATCCATATGACTAAGAAAATCTTCTGTCTTAAGAGTCTTTATTTACTTATTTATTTAGACAAACAAACGTTGGTACAATGAGGCACCAAGTATATATGCGCCATACTTCGTCATTCTATGTGTGTGAGGACTGGAATACTGCCCGGGTACCTAAACGGAGGTATATATATACTTCCTTATTTTTAACTGTTTTTGGCCAGGTGATAAGACTAGCTGTTCGGCACACAGGAGTAGGTGCATGACAGCCCGACCTAACACATGACTGCAACTGAACTATTCTCTCTAACAAATGACTAAGGTTGACCTTTAATTAACTTTACAAATTTGAATATACAGAATATAGAAGGTATATTTTCTTTATATACAGCCTATTAGATGGCCATAATGACCTTTGACCTTATTTTACTGCACCGATTAGATTCTATTCGGTGTATATGACATGACAAACACAACACTTAAGTGATAGAGCTAGTTTACTCAAAGCAATAATTAACGAGACAAATAAAATCATGTTTGATCAATGATCATTCAAAATATGACTTATCATGACAGTTATGCGAGGTAGATTATTTTGCACGGATTATCTATCGAGAACTAAGAAGTAAAACAGTTTTAATTCACGGTACATTTGTCTCAGAACCGAATACTGAGCCAGACTTATTTTTATACTCTTGCTAGTGACTAACAAGTTTTTATTCATTTATTTATTTGGACACATAAATATTGGTATAAAGGGGAACGATATATATGTGCTCCACACAAAAAATTGTCATTTCATTTAATTGTGTGAGGGCTATGGTAATGCCTGAGTGCCCAGATCGAAGCAGGTAGTTTTCTTAGGGGGTCACAATCGGAGCCTTTGATCTAAAGATCTGATCCACAAGGCAGTATCGTGAGGAGATGCAATCCCATGGTAGCCGGTGACCAACGATTGGTTCTTACTCCATTTGTTCCCTCAGGATGCTGGAACCCATGTGCACCATTGGTTTGGAGTGAGGGTTTTCCAACTCCCCTAGTTGGACCCTCCTTGTCCACTAAGCCGGTTAAAGCTTCGTACATTTGCTTTTTGTCCTCTCGATTTCGTAGACAACACCCCTGCCACAAGAAAGCGGTGAGTAGGACTTCCTTGACAGAAACTGTATACGCGTGGTCGTGTGAGAACATTTCGAGAGAGAGAGAGAGAGGGTGGGCCATTCCCACTCTCGGCCGTACCATGGTACTTGGCTAGTTAATAGACAAAAAAGTCATTCTATGCATAATTATATGACCAAACAGTAATATCGATTTCCTCCTACGAGAATACCTAGAAATAAGTACGATTTAGGATACATTATGTATAATGATCAGTTAGCAATAAATAAAATATAACGCTTTCCATTTACCTTCACCCTTTAAACACCAATTATCTATGATGAATAAATACCTCATTAATTAATGAGATGTGTATTCATTGCCATATCTACACAATTGTATCACATTCTTAGACTGAAATCACATATTTATGTTACAATTCAATGAATTTCATAATAATATGGTAAAAGCTTTAGGTTAGAGTTACATATAGCTTAATGATTTGTCATATAATCAACCTTCTAGTTTATTATAAATGGAATGATCGATATATATATATAATGCTGGTTTATCAAAATATTGACAAGAGTTATAGGTTTTTAGAAATCAATGATCAATGTCCGATAACATAATAATGGAGAAAAGTTTGATTGAATACTCATGATTGATTATTGAACAATGGTTATCGATAACATTTAATCAAAAGTACACATTTACAAAAAGGTATAACCTATACGAAATCCTACTCATCGCCTCGTGACTGGGGTGTTGTTTACGAAATTGAGAGGACAAAAAGCGAATGTCTGGCGCTTTAACCATTCCTGTTGACACGGGAAGTCCATCTAAGGGAGTTGGAAAATCCTCATTCCAAACCAATGGTGTACATGGACTCCAGTATCCTGAGGGAACAAATGGCGTATGAATCAATTGTTGGTCACCGGCTACCATGGAACTGCATCTCCTCACGATGTTCCACTGCCTTGTGGATCAGATCTTTAAGTTGAAGGCTCCAGTTGTGACTCCGTAAGGATACCACCTGCTTCGCTCTGAGCACTCAGGCAGTATTACAGCCCTCACACAAATCTCATTTGATTTGTGTGTTGCATATATATCTGGTTCCCCTTTATACCAATATTTATGTGCTTAAATAAATAAATACGAAAATGATAAGATAACTTCAACATTTATCACAAGTATAGAACTTACTAATCCTTTTAGATTCTATAATGCAGCGAAATTCCATGATGTAAACCTCTCTCTTTTCATTAAATCAGAAAAAGACGGGATGCATTTCAATGTTATTTTCTGCAGATAATATTCATTTAATTATGATAGTAATATTATTATGTTAACAATTAAATTATGAAAAGGAATACATTGAATGATGAATGCGCATTGCTGATGAGTTTCACAATACAACGAAACAATCGTCCAGTGTTTCCATGATGTTCTTACTTCAATATCCACTCAATAATCAATCAATATCCACAATACCCCCACCCCTCCTTCTAATAATATTCAAATGTATTAATGGAAACAAAAAATAGACTTTTTTTTCTTCTTAACAATCATATTTGTTTTAAATAATGAATAATTCACTTTTCAAGTTTATCCATGTTTTTTTTTTGTTTTTTTTGATTACGTCAAATCTACGACTTATTCAGACAAATTGATCGATTAAATTAGATAGATATATATATGTATATAGCAAAGTTATTTCTATTAAAAAACCATTCGTATGAACAGCACGATGATTACTTCGACCTTGAACATGTTTGTTAACTAATGACAGACAAATCTATCTATTTACTACATGAAAAGAAAGCCTGTTTGTATTCGCTCTCTATCTCTCTCTCGCTCTCTTTATAGTCTGTCCTTTATAAATATTAGTTACCCCGGGTTTCGATCGCTAGAACTAGTACGAATTCTATACGCTCTCTGACCTAAACGTTAAAGACTATTAGATAGACTAGACAGACAGGTCTTGTATATAGATATATATATAGATAGATAGATATAATATTGATTGTAATTTTTTAGGTCGTCACAGTTTATAATAATTATCTGCCCTTATAATATTAAAAGGATTTTATATATATATTTCAATTGAGGACGGGATTCAATTTTATACAATTAAAATAACTTATTTGGTAGGTGACAATTATTGACATTTATATTGATTTATGTACATATTTAGTTTTTTTTTGTATTTTTTTTATTTTCTTTTCTTAAATATTATCCGGTATCAACTGTCAATATTTTAAGTTTTATTTACATTTGTATATTTTGAATTTAGTCAGATGTTTTATACATTTTGTTCATTCCTGTAACCAGGATTACTGGATGAAGTAAGAAGTCTATAGCATAATTGATTATGCATCAAAAGGAGATTGAACTAAGTCAAAATTAAAAGTATGTTATGACATTGGTTGTTGACCTGACGTTGTTTTTGCAATCGGTAGGTACACTTAAATTATTTCCATTTGATGGACAGAATTAAAAATAGATAAGCTGACTTGCAGACTGACACGAGACCATTGATAATAAGAAAAGTGAATAATTCTATAACATACCTCCATAATCTGTGAAAACATATTGGAAAGTAACAGGACTAACACTCTCGAACTGCTTATAATTACTAATCTATCCAAGCCAAAATTGTCTCATATTTCATTTATCCATTCTAGCTGATAATAATTTAACCGTTCGAAATTGGCTCTTTCACATTCACTCTAACATTTCACCTATACTGTGAGAAATTAGGTTTTTTTTTTTACAACGGTCATAGATACAAGCAGTCGTCTACTATATATATTGAGTGAACAGTTGTGAGCTATTCGGATTCAGTGGGACCTATCTATTTATGTTAGATTTTATTTACACGTATATTATTGTGAGATGCTTCTTTTCAATCCGGGGTATAAATAAACATTAGTTCTTGTAATGGCAGGCCGTCTTACTGTTTTGTCGGAGCTATTTGACGACATATAAATCTGTTTTATGTAGATAAATAATATAGTTTATATTTTTCATAGTTGAAATCATGAGTCAATTGAAGCTAGACCACCATGAAAAACCTGGAAGTACTGGACGGCCGTTTCGTCCTATTATGGGACTCCTCAGTAGTGCGCATCCACGGTTCCCCATTTCGAGACTCCAACCCAGGACCTACCAGTCTCACGCCAGAGCACTTAACCGATAGACCACTGGTGGTCTAGCTTCAATTGACTCATGATTTCAACTATGAAAAATACTGAAATCTCCACAAAACCCCTTCTGAATATAGTTTATAATTATTTTTCGACATTTCCATATCCTTCTTATACACTGTTGGATTTAAAAACAGAAACACAATGACATTAATTAGGAATAATATATATTTGTAAAATCTCAGCGAATGAATTTGTAGTAAATCCAACGTTTCGCCTGACAATCTGGTCCAAGATTTTTGAAAGTTCTTGTAGAAACAGAATGAATTTACTTTTTTCTATGTAGAGTTAGTTTGTCACCGAGCACCGTAAAGTATTGTAATGAGCAGCTTCTCGTCTTATTTTTAATTCCTCACTCGGATATGCGTAAATCAAATCACTGATTTATCTGTTGTGTAAAGTCTTTTAGTCAATATCTGTGGATTTATCCATCGATTTATAACAAAATGCTTCGACGAAATAAAGTGCGAATGACAAGTTCGAATCTGAGGAAGTTAACACAAATTCAGATTGACTCATGTATTGACAAAATAAACCAATACAAAGAAACTTGTACACATTTCATACCACTTATTGAACAACTATCCATCATTTGCCATATCAAACTAATAAACTTCTGCAAAGGTATATTTGAGGGAACGGCGAACCGAACATGGACGAAACTCAACCGGTCGCTATCAAAGATCCGAACGATTTCAGAATTTCCAGAAAATCTCACAGAACGTGTTCATAACTTATCTAACTTCAATCTTGACAATGTTCACCTAGAAGTTCTTTCAATGGGACTAAACTACAAAGTACCACCGAAAATCGTCAAGAATTTGGTGGACGCCAATTTCGAAAACCTCTACAGCCAGTTATCAAATTTGACTCCAACATCAGCTGAGAATGAGGCATGGTTAAAAGCCAAATTAGTTGATATATCCCAGCAATTTGCCAACACTCCAATCAACCAAAAATCTTGTCTAACGAATGAGCACAGGGAAGCATTGAAGGAACTTAAGAACAATTCCACAATAACAATCTCCAAACCAGACAAAGGTTCCGGTGTTGTAGTCATGAATAAGGAGGACTACATAACCAAAATGAACGTGATCCTCTCAGACTCTGCTAAATTTAAATCAGATTCACAGATCGATAACGTGAAGTTGGTCGAAAAACAAATATGCCGAGAACTACATCTACTCATGCTTCACGGTTTTATCACCGAGGCCCATTATAAAATGCTCAAGCCCATTGGTACCTGCACACCAGAAATGTATGGCTTACCGAAACTGCATAAGCCTGGAACACCTATGAGACCAATTTTGTCCATGATAAATTCACCATACCATAAGCTAGCAAAGTGGTTGAAAGGAATTTTGGATCCTGTTTGTAAACAACTGTCGACACATACTGTCATTGATTCTTTTGAACTTCTACCAACCTTGGAACACTTGAATATTTCTAATAGTCGGATGTGTTCTTGCGATGTAAACTCTTTGTTCACAAATGTACCTCTCGAAGAAACTGTGGAATTTATTTGTGATTTCATAACTTCACACAACATAAGAATACCCATTCTTACTACCTATCTTCGAGATCTAATTTTGCTGTGCACAAAGAATATAAAATTCTATTTCCAAGGTAAAGCATATATGCAAATCGATGGAGTGGCTATGGGAAGCCCTCTCGGACCTGTTTTAGCAAACATATTCATGGGAATGATAGAAAGGCAAGTGAGTCACTTCATTGATGGTATTACACTTTACAAACGATATGTCGACGATATTCTTGTCATATTACCACAGTCTACAGATATTAATCAAGTCAATGATTTATTTAATACAATTCACCCGGATCTGTAAGTCACTTATGAGGAAGAAAACAATAATGAACTAGCCTTCCTCGACATCCTGCTCCATCGCCGTCCAGACGGATCGATCAGACGCAGAGTACATCGTAAACCCACCTGGTCGGGACAGTACCTCCACTTCACTAGTTTCTGCCCCATACAATATAAACGTTCTACTGTCAAAACTTTATTCGCTCGTGCAAGTAGAATCTGCACTGTAGATACATTGGACGACGAATTTAAGTTTATTACTGAGACACTTAAATTAAACGGATATCCTGAAACGTTTATTGGTCATCAGAACACAAATACGACGAAACTGATAGCAACGGATGTGCCCAAGAAACCAGTATACCTACAGTTACCTTTCAAGGGTGATCATTGCATGAAAATTACAACCAAACAGATTGCAGCTGCAATAAAAAAGACCTTCAATACAGCTAATCTGAGGCTTATCACAACAACTCAATCGATCTCAGTTAACCCTATCAAGTCTCCAAGACCGATTCAGTCCAAATCCCACTGTATTTACCAATTCACATGTAACTGCGGAGAAAGTTACTTAGGTAGGACAGATCGCCGATTGGAGGACAGGATAGGGGAACATATTCCAAGATGGTTAATCAAATCCATGATTCATCCACCTAGCCCGTCATCTCAAGATCGATCAAGAAACCCAGCCTCGTCCATTGCAAAACATCTAATGATGAGTGGTCATCAAATTGACCCAAAATCAGCCTTTAGAGTTGTGACATGTCATCAAAACCCACACACACTCAAACTACTCGAAGCTATCTTGATTGGTCGGAAAAGTCCAACTTTATGTGTTCAAAAACAACTGTACGTTGACCTTTATTTACCATGGTTCTAGTGAGTGAATGTCATGCTAAATAAGAAATTTTGACCTTATCTTCAAAACTGTATTTACACGAATAACATGTTGCTTGTATGTGACTGACGAGAAAACACGAAATGGTACTATCTCACTAAATTTGTCTTCTCATTTCTCTGTTCAAATTTATCAAAGGGAACCACTGTTTTGAATATCTGTTTATTTAAAGAATCGGGACTAATATTCACCAGATGAACGAATTATTTACTTTTTCTGTTTTTCTATCTGGGTGGGTGACAAAAGGTAAAATTTCAGGCACAGTTCTATTCGTTTGTCTGTATTTTATTGAATCTTAAAAAAATGCCATTCACTTTTTAGATTCAACGCTCTCCTCCCAGTCAATATCGTTAATTTTAAATTGGAGGGGTTATCAGGAAATTAGTCAATTTTTTAGGCTCTATTCGTATCACTGGACAATTACTTCATTATTTGTATGCGATTCCTCAGCAGTGCTCGCCTTCAAAGCCTCCAGGAACCGGACCCAGGGTTTTTAGGTCTCGAGGTGAACCAACTGCCTCAAAAGCCTCTTCGACCAAATCACAATAATCAGTTGACAAGTGACGTACTTCAAGACGTTCCTGAAGCTCTAGTTTGAGGTCATGACTAGTGGAGTTTAAACACCTCTGGAGTAAAACAGCTGTTGCTGGTGACATTAAGTGTTTGTTGAGCTAAATCTCTGATTGACTGAAGTTGAAATTGTAATACTGAAAGCCAATCTAGTGGTTCTAGTAGTCAGGGGGTCACAGCGATACCTTGTTTAGGTCCCTGATAGAATCATGTGTGCACAATGCTAATGAGTCGCATACTAGGAAGAACTGACTGTCCATCGCTCCCTGGATTTCATTGGTACCTCAAACGAGCTTTGTTTGTGATGAATAGCGTTACTTTCATTTATTTTGATGCTTTCCGTTCATTTCTATAGAATCTCACTTTATGTGATGCTGTTACTCGATGTAGTTTAAACGGACTCCATCTTGAGTGAAATTTCACATTGATGTGTATATCTTTTGCTGAGATTTCGGTAGTGTGTTGGAAATACGGTATTGATAAAAGTTACTCATATTATTGGTATCGTGTACTATGGACATAAAACTGACGTTGTTTGATTAAAATTCATTTGAGACACATTAATATGGTTCTACTTTTAATGTACATTCCTTTTCAGTTGAGATTTTTTAGGTGAATTAAAGGTTATCACACTCCGTGTGTTGATTT